GGTGCAGTGAGGGGATCGGTCGGAAACTGGGGGGTGCCCGGCCGAGGGCGGCTCTCCAAACCAGTAGCTCTTCAGGAAGGGGAAATTCCAGGGCTTGGGGACCCCGTACTGACCTGACAGCGGGCAGGGACAGCAGGGCTGAGCGGGGCTGAGCGGGGCTGAGCGGGGCTGAGCGGGGGCTGTGAGGGGCTGGGGGCTCTGCGCTCACCGGGGAAGACGCCCTCGATGTACCAGGTGGCCAGCCCGTAGAGCCCAGCGTCCAGCAGCAGCAGCCCCATGGCCGTGGCAAAGCTGTAGGGGTCTCCGGGCACCGGGCTGACGGCCAGGTTGTGCCACTGGATGCCCACCCCCTGCTCCTCGTACAGCGAGAAGTACTCGCAGCCGAAGCCAAAAGCCACGGGTGACAGCAGGCTCTGCGGCGGCAGGGACGGCGCCGTGGGTGGAAAGCCCCCAGCTGGGGGCTCCTGAGCCCCCAGACCCCATACCTGGGGGGGGTGAGGGGCCGGGGCCGCTCACCACGAGGACGCGCAGCGGGAAGGTGACGTGGTCGCGCCAGGCCACGCACAGCACGTAGGGCAGGTAGAGGGAGAAGTAGACGATGCCGCCGCAGGCCGAGGCCAGGTTGGCGCGGAGGAAGAAGGTGCTGATGAGGAAGCACTGGCAGATGGTGGCCACCGAGAAGGTGCCGAGGAAGAGGAAGATGACGGCCGGGTCGCTGTAGGGCAGGATGTTCCCCAGCTGCGAATCGAGCCCAAAATTTGATTCCAGCTGGAGCCCACCGAGCCCCCCCCCCCCCAGGGCTGGCTCCCAGCACTCAGCCGTCCCCCGCGGCCCACCCCCGCGGCCTGCCTTGAGGATGAGGACGAGGAGGGCAGAGCTGAGGAGGAAGGGGATGAAGCTGCTGAGGAACCAGCTGAGCCAGAGGATGCCGCTGCTCAGCCCCATGGCCTTCATGGTCTCCTTGAGCCGCGCCTCCTTCTCGTGCACCACCCCCTTGATGATCATGGCCACCGAGTAGATCCAGGCCAGCGTCATGAAGAGGGGCAGCGAGCGGTTCAGCACCCGCAGGAACCTGGGGGAGACGGCGGCGGCCCCGTGGGGCTGAGGGCGGCTGGCTCGGGGTGTGGGGGGGGTCCCGCGGTGCCCCCGCCGCCCACTCACACGTCGTCCACGTAGCAGGGGTAGGGCATCTGCTGCACGTAGACCCCCGTGCGCGGGGCCGCCCCGCTCTGCAGCCGCACCACCGCCTGCTCCACCAGGTCCTGCACGTAGACGAAGCCGCCCCAGACGTAGCGCAGGTCGCTGAAGGGGTCGGCTGCAGGGGCCGGGGTCCCAAAACCTGGGGCAGAGCAGCGTGATGGGGGGGGGGACGGGATGGGGATACCCCTGCCCCAGGGTGGGGAGCACAGGCACGGGCAGGGCGCGTGTCCCCAGACCTGTCCTTGATCTTGTTGGTCCTGGTGACATCGTCGATGTCCATGCGGATCTTGTAGCGCACGTGGGGGGGCAGCGCCGTGGCCGAGGCGCTCAGGGGGGGCTGGAAGACGACGGCGGCCCAGAACTGCCGCTCCTCCAGCAGCTCCAGGGCAGCGGGCCACCAGCCTGCTCCTCGGTGGCCACCGCCTCGATCTTGTCCACGCGGACGCACTGCGGGCGGGCAGAGGCTCAGCGGGGTGCGGGCAGCCGGTGGGGGGAGCCGGCGGGGGGGCACAAACCTCCAGGAGCTGTGACAGCGTGCCCACCACCCCATCAGCTTCATCCAGCGCCTGCTGCCAGCTGAGTCCCCGGCCCCTCCGCTGGCCCCGCCAGGAACCGAGTCAGCGCCGACGCGGTCCAGGAGGTGCCGTTGAGGATCCCCTCCAGGAGCGGGGCCGTCCCCGGCGCCAGGAGCAGCTCCTGTAAAAAGTCAGGGCACGGCCTCGCACCCGGCCCTGGCCTGGGGTCCCCGAGCTGCCCGCAGCCCCTGCTTTCTGGGTACGCACCCGCAGCACCTGCAGCTCCAGGCTGCTGTTGAGGAAGGCGCGGATTTGGGGTCCCAGCTCCTGCCAGGCGCCCGCTGCATCCCGCAGCGCCGCCAGCTCCTGGAAGGTGCGGTTCACCTGCACGGGGCACGGGGTCAGGGGGGCCGGGCGGGTGCCACCCCCCCAGCACGGCACCCCGCTCACCTCGGCCATGATGCTGTCGGTGGCGGGGCCGGGCGGCGTGTACAGGATCTTGCCCACAAAGAGGGGCTTGATGCCCCGCCAGAAGAGCTGCGACAGCGGGGAGGCCTCCAGGCTGCGGATCAGCTCCCTGCAGAACGGACCTGGGGGGCGCAGCGCTCAGCCCCCACGCTGCCCCCGCCACCCAGCCCCGGGGCAGCCCCGAGGGTCCCTGCCCGAGCCCCTGCCGCAGCCCTGCTCACTGCTGCCGTTGTCCGGGGTCCCCCGTGCCCCGCTCGGAACCACCACGGTCCAGGAAGGCCTTGACATCGTTGTCCTCGTACCAGTTGAGGGAGGGGACCCTGAGCCCCCCGCCCTCGGGGTGCCCGCAGGCGATGCGTGACAGCGCCCCGAAGGCACCCAAGGTGCCATTCCCCCGCAGCGCCCTGACCTCGTGCCGCAGCTCGGCCACGCTGCCCATGGAGGACACCTGGGGAGAGCAGGGAGGGGGTTGCGGGCGAGCCCCAGGTGGGGGGGGCAGGATGTGGGGGCACCGGGGGGGCTGTTCGGTACCTCCCGCAGCAGGGACTCAGCGCCCCGCAGGAAGGGACCCAGGGCTCCCACGGCGCCGTCTGCCTCCGAGCTCAGCCTCTCCTGCAGGAAGGGGGTGCGGGGAGCGGGGCTCACGGCTGCTCCAGGCGGGAGAGGGGGGGGGGTCCCTGTGCCTGCGCCCCCCAGCCCGGACTCACCGCCAGCAGCCGGGGCAGGTCCAGCTGCGAGAGGACGGCGACCCCCAGGGCGCGCAGCGTGGGGCCGGGCAGGGCGCACAGCCCTCGCTGCAGGCGCCGCGTGCCGGCGGCAGTCGCGCCCCTCGAGGATGGCGCCCAGCTCCGAGCCATTGCAGACCACAGGCCTCCAGCGGGGCGCGGGCACCCCCGGAGAAGAGCTGGGGGGTGGGGGGCAACGGGCAGGGTCAGGCAGTGCAGGGACCCCCCCCGGACCCCCAGCTCCCAGCGCCGCTACTCACAGCGCGCGGGTTGAGCCGAGCCCCCAGCAGCTCCTCCACCAGCGCGGGCGGCAGGGACTGCATTGGTGCGGAGGAAGCGCTCCAAGGTCTCGTCCTCCCTTAGCAGGTCCCGCAGCGGCCAGGTTGGGGGGGCCGTGCTCTAGCGCCCCCAGACCCCGCAGCGCAGGCAGGAGCTGGGCCAGGCGCTGCGGGAGCTGCTGCCCCTCGGCGTGGAGCGCGACCCCGCGGGCCTCGGCGAGCAGGCGGGAGAGGCTGCGGGCACGCACCGGGGGGGTGACGGTGAGCGGAGCCCCCAGCCCTGCCCTGCCCCGTGCCCGGCCCCCCCGGCCCCCCGCTCACATGGAGCCGTTGAAGTTGCCCACCACGCCGGGGGTCTCCCCGGGTAGTGGGGTGCTGGAAGCAGGGGTTGTTCACGTTGCAGATGATGCCCTGCAGCCAGGGCAGGGTCCCCGCCGACGGCAGCGCCTTGTTGGGGAAGTGACCTGCGGCACACGGGGGGGGTGGCTCCGGGTGCCCCCAGACCCCATGCACCCAAAAGGGGGGAGAGCCCCCGGCCCCCATCCGCCGCCTCCTCCCAGTGCCCCCCGGGGACGCTCACACTGGTGCTGCTGGAAGGGCGGGTGGGACTGGCGCACCGCGATCAGGATGACGAAGAGGAACAGGGGCCAGAGGAGCTCGATGGCCAGCTGCACCTGGGGGACACCGCGGTGTGTGGGGGGTGTGTGTGTGGGGGGGGAGCCCCCAGCCCCAGCGGACCCAGCGCCCCCGGGAGCCCCCCGCCCCGTGCCGGGGGTTGATGCTCACCCGCTGCCGCCGGCGGTGGACGAGGTTCTTCCAGAGCAGCAGCCCCAGCTGGGTGCCCACGGCCATGGCGAGGGTCCTGCGGGGTGGTGGCCGCTGGGTGGGCACCAGCCACAGCCCCCAGCCCCCAGCCCCCAGCCCCCAGCCCCAGCCACAGCCCCCAGCCCCCGGCTGGTGCTGCTCCCCAGGGCTCAGCAGGGAGGAGCCCCCCCCCCGCCCCCCCCAGCTCCAGCCCCAACCCCCAAATTTCCACTCCGGGGGCCAAAATCGCGGTGGGGGCGCGCAGGAGCCCCCAGCCCCACCGGGGGGAGCCTCGGGGGGAGCCCCCAGAGCCCCCCCGGAGCCCTCCCGGAGCCCCGCGACCCCCCCTGCTCCCGGCGCTGCCCGTGCCTCAGTTTCCCCAGCCGGGTCCTGCGGCTCCCGGTCCCCCCCCCCCTCACCGTTCCCCCCCCCCTCCCCACTCACCTCCCCGCCCGCTGCCGCCGCGGGGCCCCCGGGGGGGGGGGTGCCGGGATTAGGGGATTATCAGGGGATTACGGGGTCAGCGGCTGCCGGCCGGGGACATCCCGCAGAGCCCCGGGGGGAGGCGGCGGGGGCGGGGAAGGGTTCGTGTCCGACCCCCCCCCAAAAAAAAAAACGGCCGCGAACCGGGACGGGGGAAACTGAGGCACGAGGGGAACGGGGGGGATGCGGGGAGCAGGAGCAGGAGGAGGAGGAGGAGGAGGGAAGGGGAAGGACGCGAAGCCGCAGCCCCCCCGCCCCCCCCCCGCCGCTGTCTCCACCGCTGCCGGTGCCGCTCGCAGCCCCCCCGCCCGGTGCCGGTCTCGTGGCGCGGCCCCTTTAAGGGCCCCGCAGGCCCCGCCCCGCTCCCCTACAAAGACACCGCGGCGTGACGTCACGGGCAGCGGCCTTAAAGGGGCCACGCGCGCTGGGTGGGGCCCCACCCGGGGGTCCCGGGGGGGCTGCCCCGACCCCGAGCGGCGCCCCTGGAGCACGTCCTGGGGCTGGAACTCAAACGCGTTTTTTTTTCTTTTTTTTTCTATTTTTGTTTAATTTATATAAAAAAGAACACCGTTTCAATATAAGAGCATCTGCATTAAACCCCCCCGCGGCTGGAAGAAGCCCCCCACCCACAGCCCGAGCCCCCCGCTGCAGGATGCGGCCGCGGGGCTCAGCCGCAGGCAGCTCCCAGTACCTCCCAGTAACTCCCAGTAACTCCCAGTAGCTCCCAGCACCACCAGTGGCTTTGTGCCAGCGGCTGGGCGCAGCCAGGCTGTGGGTACCTGGCGGCACTGGGACCCCCCTCCCCGGGCTGGGCTGGAGGCGGGGGGCACTTGGTCCCCAAAAAGTTCTCCAAAAACCAACAAAAAAAAATCAATTTCCAGTTTGGGCTCTGGGCAGGGCGCTGCTCCCAGCACCGGGGCTCAGCACCGCCAGCCCCTTCTGGAGCGCCGGCGGCATCGCTTCTCCGCTCGGAAAAATAATTCATTTTTAAAATTAACACGAAAATAGTTAAAAATAAAAAAAAAATAAAAAGAGGGAATGATGCTGAGAGGCTGGGAGGTGGCGGGGGGGCGCGGGACGGCCCCGCTCAGCAGCTCTCCTCCTGGCGGTAGTAGTGGTACCCGGGGGGGTCCGCGCCCGGCTCGCAGGCGGCGTCGCCCCCCTCGGGCTGGGTGCCCTGGGGGCAGTATTTGGGGTCGTAGATCTGGCGGCCCAGCCCGAAGACCTGCCCGCTCTGGTTGGCGCCCTGGTTGGAGCCCATCTGCAGGGACATGGAGGAGTTGTCGCACTTCTCCAGCCCCATCTTGGCGTCGTAGATGTGCCGCCGGGTGCCGGGCGCCGTCATGCCCACCTGGAGGGGATGGAGGCTCAGAGCGGGGCTCCCCGGCCGTGTGCCCCCCACCCCAAGGACCACCGTGTGTCCCACCCCTTCCCTCACCTGGCTGGCACACTTGTTGGTGCCCATCTGCAGGCTGATGGTGGAGTGGTCCATGGGGGGCAGGATCTGGTTCTTGGGGTCGTAGAGGTGCCGCCGGGTGCCGTAGGCCGTCATGCCCGACTGGCTGGCGCACTTGTTGGTGCCCATCTGGTGCGAGAGGGGCTTGGTGAGAGCCCGGAGCAGCCCCCGTGGGGACCCCGTTCCCATCCCCGTCCCCCCGCGGGGTGGGCAGAGGGGACACTGCGGGACGCCCCCCGGCCGTGCTGGTGGGCAGCGGGGGCTCGCCATGGCGCGGGGGCACCCACCTGCAGCCCGATCACGCACTGCCCGGCCTTCATCTTGGCCTCGTCAAAATTCCGCTGCTGCTTCTCCGAGTACTTGACGCCGATGTCCACGCCGCTCTGCATCCCCTTCGTCTTGGCCTGACGGGGAAAGGTGGCGAGGAAGGGAGGGGGGGGGGGTGGTCCCGGACCAGCCCCCCTGGGGGCCGCACCCGCGGTGTCCCCGTCCCGTCCCTCGTCCCCGCGCTCTCACCATGCCCGCCAGCGCCAGCAGCGACACCTGCACCTGCGTCAGGTTCCCGCTCTCAAACAAGGTCGTTGGCTTCGAAGAGGTCCACGGGGTTCATGCCGTAGCTGGCCATGGCCTTGATGAAGTTGGAGAGGTTCTCGAGCTGCGGGGGGGGGACAGGACAGAGCGGTCAGGGCCCAGCGGGAACCGCGGCGGCTCGGCGGCGGCCGGGGGCAGCTCGCGCCTACCTGGTGCCAGTTCTGAGCCGAGCGGTTGATCTTCCGCACCGCGTTGGGCTGCAGCTTGTTCATCAGCCTGGAGAGAGGTGGCAGTGAGCTGGGGGGCCGGGGGTCCCCTCCGCTCCTCCCTCCCCACAGCCCAGGCACCGACACCGCATGGGGCTCCCCGTGTCTGTTCCACCCCCAGCAGGGGAACGCCGCAGCCCCCGCGGTGCCGGGGAGCCCCCGGGTCCGTGCCCCCCTCTCCCACCTCGTCCGGGCTGATGTTGGCGCAGGCTTGGCCAGACCCAGCCTGCCCTAAAGGGGTCCCCCGGAGCTGGCATCACCCGTGCGTGCCGTGGGACTCACTCGCAGAGGATGACTCCATCCTTCAGCCCCTTCTGGAAATCCGGCCCGATCTGCTGCCCGGTGACACTCTCGATCCACGTCCGCAGCTCTGCCTCCTTCTGTGGGTCGTACTTCTGGGCGAGCTGGGGGGGCGGCAGGGGCTGCTCAGGCACATCCCTGCCCGTCCCTGCGTGCACCCCGAACCCCACCAGGGACAGCTCCCCAGCACCAACCCCGAGCCCAGCCCCGGCCGCGGTGACAGCGGCAGCACGAGGCTGGTCCCCAGCCACCACTCGGGCGCCACAGCGCCGAGGCGGGGTTTGGACGGCCCCGGGATATTTGATCAGCTGCAATTTCCTGGTGCGCAGGAAACCCAGATTCAGCAGCACAGAAACCGCTGAGGAGGGGGGGGAGCAGAGCAAGAGCAGCGCCCGGCCCTGGGCCCCGCGGGGTGGGCACGGTGCGCCCGGGGACCAAGAGCCAGGGTGGGGGGCAAAGAAATCACAGGGAGAGCATCTCCCCCAGCACCAGCTGCCCAAATCCCCATCCAGCGGCTGGGCTCAGTCTGCATGCATGATTTTGGGGGAGATCACGGCCAGGCTGCCCCCAGCCCCATCCCTGGTGCAGGAAGAGGGGACGGTGGCGGCACGACACGGTGCTGCCATCAGGCACGGCTGCTTCCAGCACGAGCCCGCAGAGCCTCGCACGCAGCCACCCGGAGACTTGTGCAGCGTTCGAAGGGGAAGAGGAAGAGCTGCCCACGCGGGCCGTGGGGAGCAGCCCCCCGCAAGGCCCTGTTCCTCCCTGGTGAATGGGGAAATCAGCCCCTGAATGGGGAAATCAGCCCCGGTCACCGACCCCGCGATGCTCTTCCCTCCCGCCGGGCCCATCGCGCCGCCGCAGATTCCTCGGCCACCGCGGCTATGCCAGGAATGCGGACGCCTCCTCCCAAATCGAGAGCAGCTGCCCGGGGCCGGCAACATCGCCTCGGACCCTGCCCGCAGGGACAGCGAAGCCCACCCTGGTTTGGGGCAGGAAGGAGAAGGCATCACGGGGGGGAGAGGCTGAAAGCCCCCAGCACCTTTGCTGCCTGGGAGGAGCCAGTGCAGCCCTCCCTGTGCCAAACCAGCGCCCAGGGTCTGCCACGAGGCTCGCCTGTCCCCTTTGTGCAGGGCTGGACGGCAGCAGGGACACTCAGCACGTGCACCCACGGGACCCACGCCTGCTCCATCCCCACCCCTGGCGTGGCAGGGGACCCCAAGCCGCTCACCAGGCTCCACCAGACACCAAGCCACGTACAGGCAGGACCGGGGGGGACCCCAAGCCCTGCAGTCTCTGGCCAAACCTCACCCATGCCTCAGTTTCCCTTCTTGCAGCCCTGGGGGTGCCCTCCCCTTGCACAGGGAGCAGCTGGGGTGGGGACAATCCTGGCGGCCCCCAGTTCTCAATGCCACGCTGGGGCTGGGTCCCCAGGGGTCCCAGGCATGGTCGTGGTGCTGCTCTGTGGGGAGACAGCGGCTGTGCCTGAGGGCTGCGGCCCCAAAGGGGAAGCTGGACTCGGCCAGGGCGCAGGGACAGTCCGGACACCGCGGCCACGGTCACGGCATCACGCGAGCACTGGGGGAACCCGGTGCTCCACGCTTCCCGGCCAGCTGAGCTCCCAGCACCAATTCCCTTCCACCTCCCTGCACACGGGGCTCTCAGCGGAGGCAGCAGGGGAGCCTCGGAGCGGTCTCGTAGCGGGACCAGCCCAAAATCAGATCCCACCACGGCCCAGGCTGCGAGGGCTTGCGTGGCCGGGAGGGTGCCGCTGGTTGGACTGGTTGGCGGGGTGATGTCAGCCTGCAGCAGGCGCGCGGGGCAGTTCGACTGGCTCCAGTCTTGCTGAATCAAGCTGAAGCGCCCGGGAGCAGGAACCGGCGAGGCTCCGGCACGTGTCCACCAGCCCCGTGCGGAGCACAACCCGGGTGCAAGCAGGGGCCCGTCCCCACTCGGTGATGAAAGACAAACCCGCTGCGAGGACGGGGAGGGGAGCCCGGCACAAGCAGCGTCCCGGTCCCGCAGCCGTACCCGGCTGAGCCCTGGGATGCGGTGCGCAGCCCCTTCCCCTGCCTGCCCCAGCCCCTGCGGGCTGCCCTCGTGTCCTGAGCAGGGCACAGCCACCGGGGCCACGGTCCTGCTGCCCCGGGGGGGTTGGTTAACCACGGCCAACCTGTGGCTCACCAGGCAGGGCACAGCCCAGTGCCACCAGTTGCTGCCACCACGTCCCAGCATGGGGCAGGGGCTGCAGCCACCCCCAGAGCCTGGCCAAGCAGAAGCACACAGGGATGGGGAGGGGGCTTCTGCGTCCCCCGGGGCAGGACTCCTGTGCCCGAGGCAGGGATCGGGGGAGCCCGGGACACCCAGCGCTGGCCACCGGCACCCGGTGCCGCCCCGCCGAGGCAGGTGGGTGCAGCCGGGAGTGAAGAGCCCCGGCGGAGGCACCGGGTTCCCCTTTCCCCTTCCGCCCCTTCTGCAGGGGGCGGCCGGGGCCCGGGGTCCCTCCCAGACCCCTCCCGGGACCCCGCGGGCAGGGTCAGGGCTCCCTCATACCGGGACCCCCCTCCCTCTGCGCCCCGGGGCTCTCCATCCTCCCGGCCCCCCGGCTCTCTGCCCCCCGGTGGCGTCGGGACCCCCCCCCGGGACTTCTCAGCCCTGCGCCCCCCGGTGGCACCGGGTCCCCCCCCGGCTCTCCAGGACCCCCGGGCGCAGCCGGGACGCTCCCGCGGCACCGAACCGCCCCGGTTCCCGGTGGCCCCGGTGACCCCGGAGCCCCCTCGCTCGCCGCCGCCCGGTGGTCCCGGACCCCCTCGTCCCCCCCCCGCGGCTCACCCGGTTCTTGACCTCGGCGGAGAGGCCGTAGGACGGCCCCTTGTTGAACTGGGAGCTGCTCATGGCGCGGCGGCAGCGGAGCGGGCACCGGAGCGGGGAGCGGCGGCACCGGGCGGGACCGGGCGGGGCGGGGGGGGTCCGGGCGGGGCGGGGGGGGGGGTCGGGCCCGGCCCCCCCGAGCTGATTGGCCGGGGCCGAAATGCCCAAATAAGGGCAGGAGCGGCCGGATCGCGGGGGGGGTCCCGCGCACCCCGACACCGAGCCCCGGGGGTCCCGGGGGTCTCCAGAGCCGGGGGGGCCGCGCTTGGGGCCGCACAGGCGCGGACACCCCCGCGGGCTGGGGTGCGCCCCCCCCAGCCGCGCACACGCGTGTGCCCCCCTTACACGTGCACGCCCCGGGGCGCGCCGCCGAGCCACGGGCGCGGACCCGCGCGCACCCACGGCCACGCGTCCCCCCCCCAGCGCCTCCCTCCCACGCCCACGACCCCCGGTGGCCGCCGCCCGGTCCCGTCCCGTCCCGTCCCGTCCCGGGGCGCTCCCCGCGCCGCCGCCGGCAGATGGCACAGCCGAGGCGGCCCCGGCCCCCGGCCCGCCCCGCACGGGGGTCCTGGGGGGGCTCCGGCATCCCGAGCCCCCGCCGAGCCGCCCGCAGCCCGCTGTGCGGGGCCCGGGAGCCGTCCCCGAGCAGCCCGACGGGCACCGGGCCGGGGAAGGGTCCGGACCGGCCGGGACCCCCGCCCCGCGCCCTGCTCGCCCCCCCCCCGGCCCGATCCCCTGCTTTGCCCCGCGGAAGGTGAACGAGCGGCTTCACGGGTGGGTTGTGCTTGGGGGGGTCAGTGCGGGGGGCGCACACGGGCCGGGGGGGCTGGGGGCTGAGGCGGGGGTCCCGGGGGGCAGCTGGAGCTGGGCTGGGCTGAGCCGGGGAGGTCAAACCAGGAGCATCCCACGGGTGGGCGCCCGGAGCCCCCTGCTCGCCCCGGTGCCCCCAGCCCCGTGCAGCGGGACCCGACCCCCACGGCCCCGGTCCCGGGGGGGGCTCTGCCCTCCCTGGGCCCCTCCGCACCGCCGTGGGGTGCGGCGCAGCAAAACCCCTCGGAGATCCCCCCGGTGGTGCGGGCACCGAGCCCCAGGCGGCCCCGAGGGGGTGGCCAGGATCCCCCCTTCCTCCCTGCCTCGCGCCCTCGCTGCACATTTTGGCTTTTTCCTGTTTCAGGTTCGCCTGCAGAGCCGATGAGGAAATAAGGCGGCGTCACACGCGCCGTCCTGACAGTTGGCTCCAGCGAATGTGGCCGGCGGGGTAGCAGCGGGGCTGGCAGCGAGGCACCCCCGGGTGCCCCCCTCACCCCCCACCCCCGGGCAGCGATGTTCTCCCGCAAGAAGCGCGAGCTGATGAAGACCCCCTCCATCTCCAAGAAGAGCCGGGCGGGGAGCCCCATCCCACAGACCCTGCCGGTGAGCGCCGGGGGGGCCACGGGGACGGAGGGGAGGGTACGGCCGGAGGGACACGAGGAGGAGGAGGAGGGAGCTGAGGAAGGACCCCCCGGGCCTGGCTGGGGGGATTTTGCCCCAGAGGAAGGGGACGGAGCAGCGGCCGAAGGGCCTGACGTGGGGAGGGTGGGCGAGCGGGGCTGGGGTGCAGCAAACTGGGGGGGCCCAGCAGTGGTGGCTGTGACCGTGGGGCTGCGTGGGCAGAGGGACCCCCGGACTGCCCGGGGGGCAGCAGCAGGAGCCGGGGGGGACGCGGGGCTCGGGCAGCGCCTTGGCCCTGCTGTGTATTTATTTACTCAGCAGCAGCCCAACGGTGCTGGGGGGGGGGGCGAGAGGAAGCGCCTCGCCTCCGCGGGGCAGCGGGCGGCCGGGGTTCCTCCGCACCCGTGGCACTGCCCGCCCCGCGCCTGCGCTGCGCCCCAGCCCCGTGGGACATGCCCCTGGGGGCCGGAGAGACGAGGCCACCGGGCCCCCGGAGCCCACCCGTGGCTCCTTAGCGAGGGGGGCCCCGTCCCCACGTCCCCGCGCCCACCCCCGTCCCCACGCTGCAGCTCACCCCCCGGAGAGGGGCCTATGGGTGGGCGCAGCCTGCGGGCGCGGGGGCTGGCCGGACGCAGGGATGCTCGGCCGGGCGTCCGGGAGGCACAGCTACAGCCCCTACGCGGCCGGGCGCCGCAGGACGGGTAAAGGCAGCTCCCCCAAGGGCTCCCTGGACTCGCTGCCCCGCACGCCCAGCGTGCGGCTGACGGTACGGGGACGGCGGGGGGGGGAGCCGGGCTCTCGGGGCCGGGGGCACGGGGAAGGGTCTGCAGCAGCCCCGCTGAGGGCAGAGCGCCCGGCGCGGCCGGGGTCTGCAGCAGCCTCGTGCTCCGGGGCCGGTCCCCGTAGGAAGGCGCCCGCCGCGTCCGCCCCAAATCTGGCTTCCGGGCCCCGAGTGGCAGCGCCTGGCTGGGGATGCTGGGACCCAGCGTGCTCGAGTCACAGCCGGGGGGCTCTTGGGGGTGGGGGGGGTGAGGACAGCCGTGGGACCCCTCCCCAAGCAGTGAGGGCCCCTGGGGGCGCGGGGGTCCCGCTGTGCCCAGCCCCGGGGCTGATGCCAGGTTCTCCCTCCCCCAGTTTCACCCCCGAAATGGGGGCTCCCTCTGACCGCCACATTTCGGCAACATCTCCATCAGTGGCCTCGGAGGTGTCACCTTCCCCGTCCCCATCCCTGGCAGGGCAAGGGACAAGGGACAAGGGACAAGGGACGTGCCAGACCTGGGGGTGGGACGGCCCCAAAAAGAGGAAGGGATGCGTGGGGCCGGATCCTGGCTGCGTCAGGGCCCTCCCCGGGGACCGGGGGCCTGCAGTGTTGTGGGTGCTGCTGGGGACATGGGGACAGGGCAGCGCCACCCACGCAGTCCTTGTGTGCCCCCCAGACAGGCCTGGAAACAACAGACCCAGGGCCTAGGGGACAGTGGGGGGACAAGGGGTGAGGGGGGGCCAAGCTGGCTGCTGGCTTTAGAGCCGATGGTCGCTGGTGGAACACCCGTACCAGGTAGTTAACCTGCAGGGAGCCCAGGGGGGTTAAGGTAATGCCAGCCCATGGAGCTGCCCGTGACTGCTCGTCCCCCCCCCAGGCCCATCAGTGGTGCTGGGGGCTCTCACAGAGCTGGGGGGCACAGCCCGGCCCCTCCAGCCCTGCCAGTGTCAGCCCCCCAGCCAGCACCCCGTCCCTCTGTGCTCATGGGGCTGGGGGAGCTGCCCCGTCCCTCCCTGAGCTGGGGTCCCAGCCGTGTCCCCCCCCCCCCTACAGGACCTGTCCCGGAAGGATTGCCTGGAGGCACCGGGCTCCAGCCTGGGGGATTTGCCCCCCACCAGCTCCAAGCTCAGCAGCAGCCCCAGCGCCGTGGGCACCCTGAAGCGCCCCACCAGCCTCAGCCGCCATGCCAGCTGCCGCCGGCTTCCCCCTCACCGCCGGGGCCCCCCGGGCCATGCCCAAAGGCCACAAGACCCCCACGTCCTACAGCCCCATGGAGGGCGGGGAGGGCCTCTTCATCGATGTGGAGGACATCTCCCAGCTGCTGACAGACGTGGCGCGCTTCGCGGATGCCCTGGAGAACCTGCGGGACGTGGTGCTGCGAGACGGTGGGTGCCGGGGGGGGGCCGGCAGCGGGCAGCGAGGCTGGGGCACCGCAGACCCCCCCACAAAGCCACCACCTCCTGCACAGCCACACGGCTCTGCATCGCCCCAGTGGCACTGGGGCTGTGGGGCACGGGGGATGAGGGATCCAACAGGGACAGGAGCACCCCGAGCCCAGGGGCAGAGCCAGATCCGTGGGCTGGGGGCTCTGACTTATCCAGGGAGGGGGACGGGACCCCCCGGGGGCTGCGCAGAGCCCGCGGGCAGCCGGTGGCGGGTGGCTGCCGGGAGCTCGGAGCCAGGATAACGCGGCTTCCTGCCTGCGAGCTATTTTCATCCGCCCGCTTTCCTGTTTACACAGCAGCAGGTGCCAGCTGCCTGCCAGGGCCCCCGGCCCCCGTGGGGCACCGGGCACGGCCCCGGACACCCAGGCCCTGCCTCGCTGGGGCAGCCGCCGGGATGGGGGCGATGCCCCGGAGAGGGCGCAGGGCTGGGAGGGCTACGGGGCCGGGGGCTGGGGGCGTCCGTGGCTCCCAGGGGGTGAGGGAAGCAGCAGCGATCTGGTCTTCCCCGCAGCGAGGTGGGGCTGCCGGGGATCACATGGTGCCCTGTTTTCGGCACTGCCTTTGCAAAATCCGTTGACGCATCCCCACTTGTCATGGAAAACGTGGCACTGCCTGGCCCCGGCGGCTGGTGCGCAACGCACCCGGGGCCCTGCGCAGCCCCTCTGGGCGATGCCTCCAGGTCCTGCAAAGCCGTGGGCACTGCAGGGCAGGGAGGAGGTGGCCCCGAGCTCACCTGCAGCCACCCCACTTGCCTGTCCCCCTTGGGGTCAGTGATCACTGCTGCCCCCCAGTTCGCTCCCGGCCGCGCTGTCCCACTGGCACATGCCGGGACGGGGCCGTCCCCGAGGTGGCACAGGGGGAGAGGCCGGGGCTGGTGCACGGGGACGTCCTCAGGGGCACGGTGTGGGGACGTGACTGTGATTTTGGGATGCAGCCATGGTTTTGAGAAGAAGCAGAGGGAATTCCTTCCTGAGCTGGTGCAGGGATGGGAGGGGAGGGTTCGCCCAGCTGGGCAGCGGGTGCCAGGCTGCCCTCCTCCAGTGCACCCTTAATGCATCCTTATGGGATGCTCATCACCGCCTGAACTGGCTGTCCTCACCCTATCCCAAGCCCCTGGGGCCGGACCCTGCCTCCCCCAGCCCCAGGTTGGCAGCTGGAGCCCCCCGAGGGGCTGCAGTCCTGGGGCCGGACCCCCAGGACGTGGCCAGCCCGACTGGACACGGGGCACGGCCGCGGGGCGGACCGGCTGCGTCCCCCCCGGCGGGAAGGAAAGGGCGGAAAGGAGGAGGAAATTCCCAAAACGCTTTCAAGGGAAAAATTTACTGCTGAGGAATAAATGCCTAAAAGGCAGGGCTGCCCCGGGCCCGGCACTGCCCCGGGTGGGGGGACGGGAGCGGGAGGTGGCGGTGCCCATCCTGGGGTCCCCAAAGGCAGGGGATGGGGTGCACGGTGCCGGTGGCCCTGCCCGCAACGTGGCTGGCAGG